CCGACCTCGGATACCCCACCCCCAGACCGGCCCCGCCTACCTGGACCTGGAGCGGGAGTAGGAGCGCGAGCAGGAGCGCGACCTCGAGAAGGAGCAGGACGACTTGGAGGACCTCGAGTTGGAGCGGGAGGACGAGCGCCCTCGGCTTTTGGATCTGCTCCGGGACCTGGAGGGGCCGCTGCAGGGAGAGGCCTGGTGAGCGGGAGCCGCTGCCTGTCACTCGGCCCGGGAAGTGGCCCTACGCCGCTCCGCCCACCAAGCGCCTTTCTTGGGAGCAAAACCTGCCCCACGCAGCAGGCAGCGCGGCCCTGCCCTGGCCCAGCCAAGTGAGGACAAGGTGGCAAGGACAAGGTGGCGGCCACGTCCCGTGCGCTCCAGGCCGCCCCACACGCCGGCCCTCACCTGTTCCCTGCCTGTCACTCGGCCCGGGAAGTGGCCCTACGCCGCTCCGCCCACAAAGCGCCTTTCTTGGGAGCAAAACCTGCCCCACGCAGCAGGCAGCGCGGCCCTGCCCTGGCCCAGCCAAGTGAGGACAAGGTGGCAAGGACAAGGTGGCGGCCACGTCCCGTGCGCTCCAGGCCGCCCCACACGCCGGCCCTCACCTGTTCCTCTTCTCCTGGCCTTTCCTCCGCCAGGCCCGCATCTTGGCTCGGAAGAACTCGTACAGGCCGTTCTGCTCCCAGCCTTCGCTGCAAGACAGCGCCCGTGACTGTGCGGACGTCCTGGGGGCCACCGAGAGGAAACCCACGCCTACGGCGCCTTCCAGGGCCTGCAGCCCAGCGGCTGTGGGCCAGCCCTCCGCCCTCTGCACCGGGCGCCGCTCGGGCACCAGGACAGCATCTTGGGTACAGACGCCCAGGCCAGGCAGCAGCGGAGAGGCCAGCCGGCCCTCGGCTCTTGGCCCTGACACCTCTTCCAGCTGCTGCCGCAGAGGGCTCTGGGGCTATGGTCACCTAACTGACCTGGGGACGCCAGGCCTGCGACTGCCAGAGGCGAGAGACGCAGGGGCAGGCCTGCTAGGGGCCCGCAGCCGCCCTTCTGAGATGCGCAGCTCGGGGAGAAGTGCTGTCCCCGCCTGTCTCCATGAGGGCACCGCGGCTGGGGGCCTCTCTCAGCATCCATTCCCCGGTTTTCACACCCCGAGCCCGGCGGGGGGCCGCAGTCAGGGGCCCAGCCCTCTCCACCACTGTACCTGTTCCTGGGCCTGTCGTGGGACGGGGGGCTGTAGAAGGCCTCCACAGCGGCCAGCAGCCTCTCGCTGGGCGGCATGGGGGGCGGGAGGCGGATGTCCTTGGGGTCCAGAGGCTTGTACTCGTGGTCTTCCAGCTGCGGAAGGACAGAGGTGTCACCGGGGCCATGGGAGGCACTCCTTGGGCTGGGATGGTCACGCCCGGGTTCAGTGTTCAGAATGCTCTGGGTACCAGGGATCCCCGTTTCCTTGGGACACCCCCCCTCCAGGGCTTCAGCCACACTGTGACCCCCAATGCAGCAGGGATGGACCCCTGAGGCTGACAGGAACACAGGGCTCTCAAGGCCACGGCCAGGCGACACGGATCCCAGGTCAGGAGACACCGCGAGGCCTGGTTAATTCACTGCACGTGGTGGAGCCCACCCTGTCCACAGACCACCACCCTTGCTCTCGGCTCCCATCCCAAGTCCCCACCACCTGCCCCTGCAGGCCCGGCCCTCAGCACTGCCCCAGCCCCAGCCCCAGCTCAGAAACCTGCAACCATGCGCCCCTCGCCCCGGTCCAGCTCTGTCCAAGTTCAGGCCCGTCCCTTCTCAGCAACGAGGCTGGTCTGTCTTAGAGGGGCCCGCCAGGGCCCCTGGGGTCCCGAGTGCTGGCTCCCCTCTCTCACCACCCCATCACGGCCTGGAGCTGCTCCCAGCCCTGCCTTGCTCCTTAGAAGCCCCTCCACTGTCAGCTCCAACTCTGGCCCTGAGCCGCCAAGCAGGCGTGCAGGAGGGGGCAGGCGTGCAGGAGGGCGGGCACAGGTCTTGCAGCACAGGACCGCAGCAGCAGCTTGCTGGGCCATCCCCACTGGCAGGTACTGGGTGCCGAGCAAGGAAGGGACCTGGGAAGCGGTCTGGGGCCTCCACGGCAGGACTCACCTTCACGAGGGGGGCCATCAGCCCAGCAGGGAGGTCGAAGTAGGGTACGTTGGGGACCAGGCTGGGATCGTCATGGTTGATGTGGGGAGGGCCCTGCCGCCGCATGTGGGGGGGCTGGCCGTTGAAGCCGTGGGGTGGAGGGCCGAAGTCGGGGTGCTGGGGCCCAGCCCAGGGCGGGTGCTCGTTGATGCCAGGGTGAGGCATGCGGTGGCCAGGGTGGTGGTGAGGGGGACCCATCTCTGCAAAACCGAGAGTCAGCTCAGGCCTGGCGGGATGCCGGGAGCTGGGCGGCGCCAACCTGAAGTGGGGCGTGCCCTTGGGGCCGGGGCTACACTAACACCCCCCTGCCACCCCACCAGGTGACTCAGGCCTGTTCAGTGCCCACCCCGAGGTCAGCATGCCCAGGGAACACATAGGCAATCTGGGAACTGCAGGGGAGCCCCAGAACCCTCAAACAGTGGGGACTGCAGGTGGCATGGGCACTGGACTCCCATATGGCCAACCACTGTTCGAGTCCTAGACCTGGTGGCTTGCTTTCTCACTCCCCCTCACTCTAGATCTCTTTCTCTGTCCCTCTTTGATCAAGTTAAAAATAAAGTTAAATCAAAATAATTATTGGGGGGACCAGCAGGTGGCATGGTGGTTAAGGTGTTGGACAATCCTACATGGTTGACTGGTTCGAGTCCTGGACTGGTGGCTTGCTTTAACACTTCTTCTATCTGGTCAAATTAAAATAAATGAATAAAGTTAAAAATGAATAATTAAAAAAAAAGAAAATTCTTGGGGCTGGCAGGCGGTGTGGCAGTTAAGCGCTAGACTCCCACATGGTCGACTGCAGTTCAAGTCCCAAACCTGGCAGCTTTTTCTTTCTCTCTCTTACTCTGCCCCTCTCTGGTCAAATTAAAATAAATAAAAATGAATGAATGAATAAAGTTAAATAAAATAATCCTAAAAAAAAAGTTAACACCAAGTAGAAAAAGCTGCATGAAGTTGCTGACCAAATTTCTGTAGGGCTGAGTCTTGTGTAATTTTGAGTCTACTTTCCAGCATGGGTTAACTCCTATGCCCTCACCTGTCCTCTCATTTTCTCTCACACGTTGAGAACAGGGGCTTGGGGTGATTTCTTGTTTTCTGTCTGTTTCTGTTTCTCTTGCGAGCACACGTGCCCTATAGCAAAAATCTCCACCACCCACACCCCCCCAAAAAAGGTGTGTATTAACCCCTACCCAGCCCACGTGACGGTGGGCTATTCTATCAGGAGCGAGAAGCTGAGAGCTTGATTAGTTATGGGGGCAGAAGTGGGGCTTTGGGAGATTAGGACTGAGATGATCATGGCGGGGTCCCCGAGACTGAGCGGTAGTGAGTTTGCCGGTGGGCTATTCTATCAGGAGCGAGAGGCTGAGAGCTTGATTAGTTATGGGGGCAGGAAGTGGGGCTTTGGGAGATTAGGACTGAGGTGGTCACAGTGGGGTCCCCGAGACTGAGCGGTAGTGAGTTTGGGAGAGGGCAGGATGACACACATGACGCTGGCATGGCTGTGGGGCCTCCGAACTGAGTGGGACAAACCTCTGGCGTCAGATGGCCCGGGCTCAG